TGCTGCTGCTGCTGCTGCTGCTGCAGTTGCTGCAGTTGCTGCTGCTGCTGCTGCTGCTGCTGCATGCTGCTGATAGCCCCAATCTTCTTCCTCTTTTTCTGTTAATAATTCATTTTGTGATGTTGTTGTCCCTATACCAAATGTTAATTGTGTTCCTGCTGCTGCTGCTGCTGTTGCTGCTGCTGCTTCTGCTGCTGCACCAGTATTAACACCATCACCAGCTTCTTCTTCTTCTTCTGCTGTTGCTGCAGTTGCTGCAGTTGCTGCTGTTTCTGCTTTCGCTGCTGCTGCTGTTGCTGCTACATCTACATCATTATATGCATCTTCTATTCCTTCTGCTGCTGCTGCTGCTTCTTCTTCCTCTTCTGCTGCTGCTGCTGCTGCTGCTGCTGCTGCTGCTGCTGCATCATCATCATCATCATCCTCAACATCTAAACCCTCATGATGATTAGGGTTTATATAATTAGGGTTTATAGATGAATTAGGGTTTAGATAATTAGGGTTTAGGGTTTGTATATATAATAAGGGTTTATTTATATCTTCTTTTATATAAAAATAATTATTTTTTTTATTAATAAATATTTCTTTTCCTTTTCCTTCCTTATCATAAAGAAAATAATTATATTTATTTTCTTCTTCTTCTTCTTCTTCTTTTTCTTTATTTATTTTATTTATTTTATTTATTTTATTTATTTTTTTTTTATTTATTTTTATTGCTAATAATCCTATATCTGTATAACGCCAATATAAGCCATGCTCATCAGGTAATTCTTTTTCTTCTTTTTTTTTTTCTTCTTTTTCTTCTTCTCCTTCTTCTTCTTTATTTAATTCATTTAATTTATTTAATTCATTTATTTCCTCTCCTTCTTCTTCTTCTTCTTCTTCCTCCTCCTCTTCTTCTTCCTCTTCTTTTTCTTCTTTTTCTTCTTCTTCTTCCTCATATTCATATTCTTCTGGTGTATGTTCAGGTTGCCATTCTTTGCATGCAGATGCCATGATTAATATATTTATTTATTTAATTAAATTAATTAAATTAATTAAATTAATTAAATAAACTAATTAATTAAGAAAAAAAGAAGAAAAAAAGAAAAAAAAAAAAAGAAAAAGAATTTATAAAATAAAAAAGATATTCAAGTTCTGATCTTATTCAATATTGAGGTGTACGTACACCTCAATATTGAATAAAATAAATAAATAAATAAATAAATAAATAAATAAATATTTATTTATTTATTTATAAATAAGTAAATAAATAAATATATTTATTTATTTATATTAATAAATAATATTTTATTTCTTCTTTTTTTTATTTATTTATTTATTATTGTATCCTTTTAGGTAATAATCCTTCATAAATAAAATTATTTTCTTCTTTTTCTTCTCCCTCTTCCTCTTCCTCTTCTCCTTCTTCTCCTTCTCCTCTTTCTTCTTCTATTTTATTCATTTCTTTTTCTTTATTATAATAAGAATAAAAAGAAGAAGAAGAAGAAGAAGAAGAAGAAGAAGAAGAGGAAGAAGAAGAAGAAGAAGAAGAAGAAGAAGAAGAAGAAATAATATGAATAATATTATGTGTATTATTTAATTGTATAATTCTTTCCTCTATTGTATCTTTTATATACATGAGGTGTACATACACCGTAACTTTTTTTTGTCCTATTCTTCTTAATCTACCCATTAATTGATTTAATCTATATATACTCATTTGTGGCTCACATACTACTAAATGTCCTGCAGCAGCAGCAGCAGCAGCAGCAGCAGCAGCAGCAGCAGTAGGGGATAGGGAAGAAGGGATAGGTAAAAGGAGAAGAAAAAAAGAATAAAAAATTATATTAATAAAAAAAAAAGAAGAAAAAGGAGAAAAAAAAGAAAAGAAAAAGAAGAACAAGAACAAAAAAAAGAAAAGGAAGAAAAGGAAGAAAAAAAAAAGAAAAAAAAGAAAAAAGGAAATAAAAGGAAATAAGAACAAAATAAGAAAAGAAAAAGAATATAAATTAAATAAATAAAATAAATAAATAATTAAATAAAACAACAAATAAAAATAAAAAAAAATAAAAAAAAATAAAAAGAATAAATAAATAAAATAAATAAATAAATATAAATAAATAAATAAATAAATACAAATAAATAAATAAATAAATAAATAAATAAATTACCTGCAGCTTGTAGTGTATCTACACCATAAGTATTTGCTGCAGCAGACAGCAGCAGCACAGCAGCAGCATTTGCTGCAGCAGCAAAAGCAGCAAATATTTTATTTCTTTTTGCTGCAGTTGTGTCTCCTTTAGCAATAAATAGATGCATGCAATGTATACAATTTATTTTTTGCTGCTGTTGCTGCTGCTGCTGCTGCTGCTGCTGCTGCTGCTGCATGCAGCAGCAACGCATGCATTGCATGCGTTTTATTTCTTTTATTAATATATCTAAAAAAGAACAAAAAAAAGAAACAATTATTATTTTTATTTTTTTTTCTTTTTTTATTATTTCCTCTATAAGAGATATA